AAAAAACAAACAAATTGTTACAGAAATTAAAGATTAACTTGAAAAAATAGTTTCATCTTCATATGGCGCCAAACTCGTACAGAAATCGCTAAACTGTCATTTATACATAAACGCGTTCTCTGGTCAATTGTTGAAAACTGATTCGAACGAATGAAGCCTGTAGGTCATAGCGATGACCATCTTTCTTCGAACATTATAGACTGTCGTTACATAATCTAAAACAAGAACTATACCAAATAACAGAAACCACGTCACTTTTGGACTATCAACAGCAACAACTAAAATATAGAGTACAAGTAACTTGACAATAATAATAGAATCAAGATGTTGACATTCCACTCATTTTCAAACAAAACTTGAGAAAATAAACCTCCATCAATACTGCCACTAGAGATTACAATTACAGGATTGAGAAGCATTTTTCCCTAAAAGATTTTAAGAGAAAGGTTTTTGAACATTAAAACCGACAGTAGCAATGAATGCCAAATGTTACCTTATAAGGAAACAGCTATTATTACCGTTGCCGTTAGATCTGAGGAGACAGAGACTGCATTATGATCCCAGCCTAATGGCTGGGGATTGGAAAAAAGTGTAAGTCGAGTAGCACTGGCTGTTCCGTCTTATAAGAAAAGGGTAAATATTACTAGTATCACAAATCAGCGAATAATTAAAAAATAGGCAATAAATAAAATCTGAGAATATCAACCAACATATTGTTTGAAATCGATAAATTTGTGCGGAACAAACAGATAATAAGATCTATGATACATTTAATAATATTACAGGGCACATATTGATTTGTGTTTTACAGCTTACCAACATTTTGCAGGTTATTTAAAGCCGGAATGTTTTTTCGATTGTAATGATTTTTTGGAGATAATGATTTAGTTATACCAGTCGTACTAACTAACCCATAGGTCGGAGAGATGATATAGCTACATAACTTTCCTAAGTATATTTGCGTGTAAGTGGATATAATGACCACGAATGGAATTGGAACTCGGCTCTTCGATTTCCAACTCCCAAACGTTATCCATTACACCACCCGCACATCCCAGCTCACAGCACATCGCTGTTGCTTCACTTCGGTGAATGTACGATTGCCGAATTTCAACGTGATGTCGCTGTAAGCCCTAAAAGGCAAAGAATATGGGCTAACGTGACTAGTAGAAAAAAAAGAGAATAGGAGCTGCTAGACTTCAGCAAGTAATCCGTCTTTTCTAGACCTTACACCATTGCCCTTACAATGTAGCTACCATTCCAGCAAAGACAAAACTGAAAGAAAATGACGAGGGAAAATTCAGGCATATTGTGTTGAGTATATTTGGATCGAACTGACTACAAAGACTGAAGTCAATAGGAAAATCATAACATATTCTCCCATGAGAAGATATATTGATCGAGATGTCGCTGTAGCTGTATCTCTAACTTCCAAGTGTAGTATCAGCTGAAGGTCAGTTAAACCCGTAAAGGCGATTCTTTATCTGGGAGTCACCGACAAGCCATTGACGCTGACATTGGCTTTGACAATGCTTCGCTGGCCGACTCCAAACCGGGAGGCATTCGACGAGATAGTGCCGACGGAAGAATGGTACGTGTAAGGGGTGGCAGATTTGAAAGTCAAGCGGAGGCGTTTAATCGAACTAGCGAAGACAAACGACGACGACGACGGGTTCAATAATAAGATTATCATTATCCAAGAAGACAGCTATTAGAGATAAATTTGTTTTAATAGTTTATCAGGGTGAGCCCAGGGCCTTGGACATGGTCAATATACTTTAATGAAACTCTTCAACGGGTTGTACGGTTGAAGGAGAAGGGGATTACGACAGAGAGTGAGTACAGAAAAGGCAAACTTATTTATGAGGAAAGGAAACTTGGATGTGTGCGTGTCTATGTTTTTTGAGCACGGAAGAACTGAGCTCCCTTAACAGCAAGTCTCTCTCTCTCTCTCTCTCTCTCTATATATATATATATATATATATATATATATATATATATATATATTACTATCTCTCTCTCTATATATATATCTTACTATCTCTCTCTCTCTCTCTCTACATATATATATCTTACTATCTACCTCTCACTCTTTCTCTCTCTCTCTCTCTATATATATATATATATATATCTTAGTATCTATCTCTCAGTCTCTCTCTCTCTCTCTCTCTCTCTCTCTATATATATATATATATATATATATATATATATATATATAGCATAATTAGAAGCCACGTATACTTTCTTAATATGTATATATAGAAAAAGTTTCAAATTAAAAAATTAAAATTTTTATTTTATGAAAGTATTTATTTATTTATATATATATTGATATTTCAAATTGTCCTCAATTTTTCATCAGAAATAACTGTTTGTTTTAATTTATTTGTAACAAACAGTAATTTCTGATGAAAAATTGAGGACAATTTGAAATATCAAATATATATATAAATAAATAAATACTTTCAAAAATAAAACATTTTAATTTTTAATTTGAAACTTTTTCTATATATATATATATATATATATATATATATATATATATATTACTATCTCCCTCTCTATATATTTTCTCTTAACCGGTATCATCCCATGCAAGGCAATGACGCCATTAAAACACAAGGGGTTACAGGGTGTGAAAAAATTAAGAACAGTTTCTTGTCATTATTAATTGTTCTGATCTTAATTTGAAAAGAGTAATCAGGAAGACAGTAGATAGCGAGTGACACTGCCTTTAAATTTTTGCAGATTAATATTTGCTGGAAAGCATGGAGCCAGAAGGGAGTTCGACATAGGAGAAAAGAAACTGTTAGCATAGAACTTACGGTTACATCGAGCCAACTCAACTGTAAACTGATGAGTTCTCGACGCCAAAATTTCATTCTAAGATATTTTACCGCCCCGCCAATTCTCAGATGATTTCGCTGGTTCATTAATATATATAAATATAAAGATTCAAATATTTGAAGCCTGTCAAATGCACAAAAATTAATTAATTTCTGTGTGATGATTTTTCAATGCTTAAAACTGTTAGAATTTTTCACAATTCTGAAACAAGGCTCCATTTATATATTCGAAACAGTTAACTTCCTGCAACAGCGGCTTCTAACGAGATTGCTTCATCTGACTTGTTGCGAACATTTCCACTTATAATATATATATATATATATATATACATTTTTCCCTCACCTATTACACAACTCTGGGTTGCAATCGCCAGAAGGAGATTGAAAACTTATCCTGACGCAGAGTTAGGTTAACTGTGAGAAATAATGTAGAGTTAGTGTATATATATATATATATATATATATATATATATATATATATATATATATATATATATATATATTATTTTATTCGAAAATTATAACATAAAAATGTTATAAAATCCTATACCTTATATATGTGTGTGTGTGTGCGCGCTCGCGCGCAGGTGTGTGCGTGTGAAAGTATATTGAATATGATATTTTATAAGATATGGCAAATATATCAACCCATTAGAAAAACGTCAATACGTCATGCTTCGCCGATGAATGACACGGGTTTATTGACGGCATATTAATATTACATTAGAGCTTTTTAAATTGTTATATATATATATATATATATATATATATATATATATATATATATATATATATTCCATTACGTCGTATTATCATCAAATAATATTCAAATTATATATATGTGTGTGTGTGTGTGCGTGCGTGCGTGCGTGCGTGTGTGTGTGTAGAGCGTCTTCGATAGATGTGTTAAATATCTCGTGAATCTCTGGAAATGAAATTTTTTATAGTTTCACACACTGAGCATTTGGCGACCTTTAACCACAATCTCCATCTATCTATTTCATATTTGGCTCGCAAGTTTAAGGATAAAATAGACCGATATGGCATATGTATATATATATATATATATATATATATATATATATATATATATGTGTGTGTGTGTGTGTGTGTGTGTGTGTGTGTGTGTGCGTGCGCGCGCGCGTGTTTGAAAATGATCGAATAGATTCTACACAAATCATGAATTTGTAGCGAATAGCATGTGTTATTAGCTAGAGAAATGGGTTCACCATGTAGATTTCAAATTCTGATATAATATATTTCTTTTATTTCACATTAATTCCCAAGGAATGACATATTCCCTAGAACTAAAATTTAAATAGCAGATTACCCTGTGATTTCTCGCCCTGTAGATCCGCAATTCCAAGAAAATTCTGAATAAAAGCACTCACTACCTTCGTGATATTTTCCGTTGAAGAGATGTCTAAAGAGTAAAATTTACACAAATTCGGAGTGGAGCCCCTAAGGCTCTTGGATGATACTTCCGGTAATTTCTGTAACTGGACCAGTGCCAAACGTTAATGCTTTATACGTCCCTTCGGACTGTACCGACAACTCAGAGAGAGAGAGATAGGTAAACAGATAGATATATAGATAGAGAGAGAGAGAGAGAGAGAGAGAGAGGAATCTTGACTTATGGGCAAAACTGAATCTATATAGCCCAGCTCAGTCTGGGATGGATGTCAACGCAACACTACTCAATGTGTCTTACACAAAAGTATACACGAAAGTAATCCGAAACTAAAAATATGATCAGAAATTGTCTGTATTATGGGAGAGATTATAGTTGTTTTAAAGCTAGATACGTGTTTCGAGTCTTGTAACCTTCATCAGGCGAAGACTTATATATATTATGTAAAGGAATTTTTTTTTTTTATGTTAAGTCTTTTAACCATTGTTTTTTCTGTGTAGCAATCGTCATCAGAATCCGTCTTGGACTGGCCGAAAAAATATGCCTTTGATTTAGGGGTAATAAAAGAATTATATTTGGTCAGAGATAGGGAAAGAAAAGAAGTTTTGTCCTTATCTTTTTATGTTCCCGTGTATCCCTTCATTTCTTCTTCTATTCTTGTATAGTGCGTGTGTGTGTTTTAGCCAGTATATGCGTATATATATATATATTCTTTCTCCATTCATATATTTTATTATTACAAGGAAATAGTATCTATCTATCTATCTATCTATCTATCTATCTATCTATCTATCTATCTATCTATCTATGTAAATACACACACACACACACACACATATATGTATTTATATATGTATATAATTTGTATGGTTTGTAAGGTTCATGTGTGTGTATAAATATACTCTCAATCCATATTTTATTATTACAAGGAAATAGCGTCCCAAATATATAATATTAGTGGTAAATATACACATATATATGCAAAATATATAAATATATATACATAGGTGCATACACATACATGTATATTTTTTGAAAAAATGGAATATTAGTGTTTAATCATTTTTATTATATATATATATATATATATATATATATATATATATATATATATATATATTGGTATGGTGTGTAGGGTTCGTGTTTGTTTTTACGAGTATGTGAGTATGTATTCTTTCTCCATATTATATATTTATATTATTGTAAGGAAACTTTAAAAAGGTCAATTCATGCAGTTTGTACGGTGTCTTTGTGTGTGTGCGTGTGTGTGGATGTGTGTGTTTGTGGTCCGTGTAGTGCATTTTACCACAATGACTCTATATTGTGTGTTTATGTGTGTGGGCTTATGATTTGTTTAGTACTGGTTAAATTCGACTAAGAAATTTTCCCTTGTATTTTGAGTAAGAGTAATCGTCTGTTGTATAATTGTGTCATTTTAAAGATACCCTTGTTGCATTTGTGGATGTGTTGTGACACAAAGTGTTTTCTGTTGACTGGGAATTTAATGTTTTTGTGTGGGGAAACTGTTGTTTAGTGCTTGAGTGATACCTATATAAGATATGTTGCATTTGTGCACCTGAGTGTATAAATTACGTTTCAGTTTTTTCTCTCTTTAATGCACACGCACACACAAACACAGAGACACACGTACATACACACACAAACACGCACACACACACACACACACACACACACACACACACACATATATATATATATATATATATATATTAAAGAAAACAGACCACTTTAAGGTACCATTATAATAATTTATTTCACCAGAACCCTTTTAAAGGACGCCGGATCATCAGATAGCACTTCCAAAAAAAAAAAAAAAAAAAAAAAAAAGTAAAACCTAGAGAGCTAAACAAGCCTACTAAGCCAGCCTTCCCTGACAATCCGCTTAGGTGAAATCTTTGAAGGCTTGTCTGGCTCTCTAGGTTTAACTAGGTCTGCTCTACTTACCGTATTGAGCACTTTATTCAATTATTTTGCTTACTCGTATCGTTTTTTTTTTTTTTGGACTTTAGACTTGCATGCTAGACGATTATTTTCGGCTAACGTACATGCTCTTGATTCTTTCTTTTTTTATACATTTTTTTTCCCATTTCGTATTGGTTTGATTATTTGCAAATCAAGACGCCAAAGGTTTTTCGGACGAGTATAATTTCTTATACTTATAAGATTATTACTAATAATATATATATATATATATATATATATATATATATATATATATATATATATATATATATATATATATATATATATATAAAATTATTCAGACCGGTAAATACATTCAGCCCAGTAAATGTAATTAACAGTGTTTAATTTTTTCTTCTCGTTTCTTCTTTTCTGGATTTACATTATGTAAAAGTTGTCCGAATGTTTTGCATATCCGGGCACTTGCAGCTATACTTTAGCCCTTATCAAGGATGATTTTATTTTTACTTTTAACTGAAAGCATTTTTAAAATTTTTTATATGTATATAGAATTATAGGAATGTTTTTATTTTCCAAACACGGTCATTACATTCTAGCCGTGTTCATTGTTCGTATTATTGAGTTTTGGTCTCTTCTTTTTTATTGATAATGCTTCCTCAACCTTTTAGCTTTTTTTTTTTTTTTACATGTGGATGACGTTGTTATATTTGCATTATCAACAAGTATGTTGCAGATGGGGTTTGGTAGATTTCCATATGGATTTAAATGACTCCAAATTGAGCAATGATCAGATAGATCTAACGCGAGGCTTCTTGTTACACATGTGGTAGTATATCCAATATAATTATTTATAAATTTGGTGTCATGAGGAACACAGTTTCTTAAGGGACCTGTGAATTCGTAAATAATATTGGTTCTCTGAAATTTGGGTCTTGCAAGTGACTTAATGCTGTATATATATATATATATATATATATATATATATATATATATATATATATATATATATATATATATGAAGGATATTAATATAACGAAGATATAAAGTCATAAACTGTTGATGCGCTCTAATATTTTATTAATAATTTTTTTTTTAGGTAAGTGGACTTAACAGTTTCCTGATGATATGATAACTGTAAGTAAATCCTGAGAAATTCTTTTCATTATTTTTCCTATCTACTAGTTTTATGTGCACATTTCTTCAGGCATTTATCTGTGGGATCCACAGACGTTCGTAGTGGCAGCAACCAATAAGTTAATAGCTTTAAAATAGATAAATTGAAAAAGATAACCTTTTTCAACAGCATGAACATCTATATAGAAACAAATGTGAGCAAGGTCAGTGGTGATTGGAATATTTTAAATGCACCTTTCACGTAACCCCCCCCCACACAAAAGCAACAAAAAACAGGCGTTACTATATGACATATCATCTTCTGTAATACTCATTATTATCATAAGATTCAACCTGTGGCGTCTGATTTCAGCCAAAGTAAATTTGATTAAACATAAAGTTGAAAAGTAACAAATAGGATGAAAGATTTTAGGGATAACGCAGATGATATATGAAAACTCTGATCTAAAATATTTTGGGAAAAATGTCCTGCCTACTTTTTGAAAACCAGAAACTGAAATAGAAATGTATAGCTGCAAACTGCTTTTAAATTTTAAATGAGTATATATATATATATATATATATATATATATATATATATATATATATATATTCATTAGGTCTGCTCGACTTACCGTATTGAGCATTTTATTTAGTTATTTTGCTTACTCGGATCGGTTTTTTATTCTTTGGACTTTAGACTTGCATGCTAGACGATTATTTTCGGCTAACGTACTTGTTCTTGATTCTTTCTTTTTTATACATTTTTCTCCCATTTCGTATTGGTTTGATTATTTGCAAATCAAGACGCCAAAGGTTTTCCGGACGAGTATAATTTCTTATACTTATAAGATTATTACTACTAATATATATATATATATATATATATATATATATATTTTACAAAATAGTGCTCAATGTAAACTTGCAGAGCATTAATATTATAAATTAATCGATTTAAAATATGTTTTTTTTCGCTACACAGTTCTAACCATGTTTCAAAAATGGAAGCTAAAAGCCACGAATTTAATTTTGCAATTAAATTAAAGACATTAGTTCCATTTCATCCTCAAGCGAATTTTGGAGTAACTTTTAAAATTACTGGGTTTTAAAGACACAGCTAAAATCCCGTTTCCATGGTTACAGATAAATCTACTTCAACTGGACAAGGGGTGTCTGGGTTTGGTGTCTGAACACCCCCGAAAATCTTTAAATTTACAAATAGAAAAAAAATGCCGTAAGAATTTTATTGCCGTTAACAATAAATTTAAAAAAAAGAAAAATCCAGACGACATGCATTCAACGGATATCAGTTTTTATTGAAAAATACATCCCTACCCCTTACCAAAATGTAGCTAATAACCGATACAATGATACAGACATAAGGAAAACCCAGACACCCCTTGTCCAGTTGAAGTAGATATTTTTGTGTAATTTTGGTAAATATATCTGTTAAAATGAGATGTCAGTGTTATTTTCATTTTTGTGTAATTTAGACGGCAATTTATCCATCGCATCTTGTACATATATATATATATATATATATATATATATATATATATATATATATATATATATATATATATATGTGTTTTGTCTGTGTGTGTGTCTTAAAATAAGATATAGAATCTCGACAAAGTTTTTAATAAATTTGGCAAATGGAAAGGGTTTCATTAAAACTTGGTTTTATTACGCGTTTCCCCCTTCTAGACATCATAAGATGCATAAAAGAAAGGAACAAATGTATGTGTGAGTATTTGAACGCATGGTTAAAGAAGGAATCATAGTCAGTCAGTTATTTGCCATGCGTGATACACGCTTACGCGATCGTGTATCTTTCGATACATGATTGACAAGGTAGAATTTTTTCCCATCAGTAGGTTGCCAGTTTTTTTCTGCAGTTGACCAGTTGCCATCCAAGGGTATAGAACCCGGTCTATCCTGCTATTTTCTGGTGGGAGAAGAAGAGGATTCATGCCTTTCCTGATATTATTAGCACGTAACTCGAACTCGGCTCTCCTATTCCTCAAGCTTTCCATTACTCCACTGTGCCTCCAGTACTTTCCCCTAAGCGGGAATTTCTCCTGATTAAGTAAAAGAATGAAAATGATTAATCGCCAACTATGTTCAGCAAACTTAAGTTTTAGTGAGTTATATTTTTGGTAGCCTCCTGGAGGTATTGTAAGCGGTGTACAGTAATTTATTTGGAGTGCTATCCCACTTTTTTACAAGTCGGTGGTAAAGGTTTCTATTTTTTACTCGTAATACATGTCGATCCCTAAATTTCGAAAGACTTTTTTTAGTCTTGAAAACTCGACTTGTAGGACGCATTTCACAGTATACCTATCTATAGATATATATAGGTAGATAGATAGATAGATAGATAGACAGATAAATATAGTTTTATATATATAGTCGATAGATTGATCTAGAAAATATTTTTCCTTAGAGGGCTGAACAAGGTTAAAAGAAGGTGTGATCAGAATTAAAATAAATAATGTAATATGTCTGTCTGAAATGACATGACGATTAGACATATTACTATATCTATTTTTCTTTTTCTTTCTTCCTCTCTTATTATAATTTTTTTCCTTTAAATTTTTTTTCTTTTTTTCCTTCTCTATTTTCCTTTTGTTTGGTGAAATTGATTATGCCAATTTTAGAAGGGTTTAATGCCTTTGATTTAGCAAACGGAAATTTTTGAGGAAATGTGATATTTTAGGCTTAAACGGTGTTGTGGATTCCGGGATGAAATCCGGTACCAATAAATAACAAACGCCAAGAAGGAATATAGGAAAATAAATGTATTAATGTAATAATACAAACTGGTAATGCAGGTTAGTAGTTCCAGGAATGCGGGTTAGTAGCAAAATATATATACAGTCTTTGGTATCGACGTATCACTGTATGACTTCTTACTGAGTCTACGTGCTTGCTCACTGTTACTCTTGCTCGTTACTTTCGTTCTGGTTCGTGCTCGATCGTTCTTCTTTCTCGTTCTTCTCCCGGGTATTCACTAGCAGTAGTATATATATACCCTGGGAGATTCCATTTGTGTAAAAAGGAGAGAACCCCTCAACAAACGGGATGGGTATACTTTTATCACACCAGCTGTAGGAAGAGATAACTAATTACATATTTAGATTAAAATAAATTTCTTCTTTTATGTGCCGTGTCCCTTCAGGACGTAGGCGATCATGACCCTCCACGTGTTCTTGTCCATTGCAGCTCTTAATAAATTTTGTCTTTTTGTTATTTCTCTCAAACCTTGTTCTGCCATCCATTTGTTCAAGCCCACCAAGTATGTTAGATGGTACTCTTGCCCTCTATCTGCCTCGTGAGTATCAAATTTTCCAATACATCCTTCCTCATTATGTGCCCCGGAAATTTCAACTGCCTCTATCTAATGTTAAGTATAAGTTTCTATTTTTGGTTCCATTCTCTGTAAAACCTCGTTGTTGCTCACGTGTTCGATAAGTGTTATCCTTAACATCTTTGTGTCTAAACACATTTATGTTGCTTCAAGTCTGCTTTATCTTCTTTGAGGATATTGTCCCCCATTCGCTGCCATACAAGAGGACAGATATTACGTAACGGTTCAGTACTTTTTTCTTTCTTTCCAACGAATTATATTTCTTAATACTCTGTTTAGCATTTGGAATGAATCTTTGGCCATCCCAATCCCAATCTCAATGTCTCACTTTCAGTTCTCTGTTAGAACACTTACCAGATATTTAAATTTCTGTACCTGCTTGACTTTAGTATCACTGGCCTGTAATTTGAATTTTTGTCACGTCTTTTTGCTGATTACTCTGCAGTCGTTCTTTTTGTAATTTATGCTTAGTCCTTTCTTGTAGCTTTCTTTCGCTACGTTCTGTAGGAGGTTTTCTAGTTTCCTTTCCGTGCCTGCTATCAGCACTGTGTCATCTTCATATCTTATATTGTTAACATTGTGGCCAACAATAATGAATCATGGTAGGACTTCTGAAAACATAAAAAATAGATATTGTATCGTCAACAATTATTTATTTTTGAGCAGAAGTTCACTTGTTTTTCTTCACAGTAACAGACCAACATATTGCGGTAACCAGTAGACCATGCTGCTCGAAAAAATAGTTCCAGATATAGCAATTTGGCATTCGAGAATGGTTTTCCTAAAAATGATTACATCTATTCGCAAAAAGATTAAGACTTGGCCTCATAGCCGTGGTTAGCAACCAGCCGAGGGGAATATAATATCTGAATTCAAACTTCCTCAAGAGAGTTCGGTTTCATCTTGCTATCTTGACACCACTTAAGTGGTTTTAATAACTGTTGACATTAATTGGATTGATATCAATCACGAGATCCCGTAACCTATTGGGGCCGGAGAAGCACCCCATGTACTGCAGCGGTAGTAGCAGTTGGCTGTCTTCGGAAAAATCGCCTGACGAAGACCAATCCTGTCTAGGAAGGTTTGAACTCAGAGTATTTATTCTTCTAGACTGGTTACCTACCAAGGCTATGTCATACTATTTACCCATAGCTGAGTTCAGAGAAGAGGATGATTCATACTTAAATCTATTTGGGAAAGGAACGAGTATATCTCTGCTCGCGTAAGTGAAAGTAACGATCTCAACAGGAATTCGAACTCCTCTCCGATTTCTCATTCCATGCTGTTATCCATTGCACCACGACACCTCCACTATTAATTAAATACAAAGGATTAATTATCCCGAAGAATTATTGCAGAAATTTTAAGCCGTGTGAAATGAAAATTACTTGACTAACAAGTCTCATATTTCAGTCCTGTTGATATTTCTTTATGACGTCATGCGAGTGATTGCGAAAAATGATTTCACAAAAGACAGATTTATCAGATCCAAATGAAAGCCCCATTTTAATTGAATGCCTAAGTAATCAAATTTTAAAATGGAAACGTTCATTTTCTCTATAATCATTCATTTCCATGAAACACATATAAACCGAGCATAATTAAAGTCTTGAAGAAGAAGAAGAAGAAGAAGAAGAAGAAGAAGAAGAAGAAGAATCGGTGAAGGGGTTAATTGGAATGTACATCATTTTTATTCAGTGTCATATAAAACTAAGAGGAATTTTTTGTATGGCGGCAAAGGTTCATAACTT